ATATATGAGTTGTGCAAGATGGATAAATGAAACTTGCGGTATTTAGGAGTTTAGCATCATGACATAGCAGAGGGAAGTGTTCCTTCTTGAGGAGGGGGGCTGGTATCAGTTTCTCTGAGCGGTGCATTTCTTGTAGGTCGCTGAGTTATTGGTAAACAAACTCTATCCAATGGTGTTGGCAGCAGTTGTTGAGCCCCGTATAGGAGCTGTAAGATCTCTAGTTGAGACACTCCCATTCAGAGCTTTGATACCAAATGTAAAAGATTTTAAATAACATATTCAATCTAAAAAACATATTTGAATCGATAAGCGGAAGCGAGATAAGATCATGAATACCTCCGGCCATAACTTATACGAACAGAGTTTACACTCACAGCTCACACGACAAATTTTCTGTTATAGATCTTCTAAGCTTTTCTCACTCACTACCCGATGGTGCAAATAAAATGAAGAGGAGCAAGCTTAGGGACCAAAACAACAAGCATCACATCTAATTTATAGTGCTCTGCCCATCACAAAGTTCAATGGATGTGACCATATTATGGAACGTTACTAAATTCATGTGTTGAACTTAGACACTATATAAACCACATTCTAAAATTTATTTCCCTTAAAAATATCTAGGAATTCCAACGGTTATTGAAATTAATTTGAGAATTTCAATGGGTATTGAAATTAATTTGAGAATTCCAAAGGATATTGAAATTAATTTAATTCTAGAATTTCAATGGGTATTGAAATTAATTTGGGTATTGAAATTAATTTGGGAATTCCAAAGGGTATTGAAATTAAAATAGAGTTTTAATTAATTTGAGAATTCTAAAGAAATAAATTTAATTCACATCATTAATTAATTTGAGAATCTTAAAGAAAAAATCCCAACATGAGTCACTAACCACAAAGTCACATAAGTATTCCTAAAAAAAACAAAAACTCGAAGGTATTGATTCCATTCTCAACTCGCAAAGAAAATTGCGATAGAAGTTAGATGTTGGCAGTGATTGCATTTTGTTAAATATAATTTATCAAACTCGATAAATTTATATTTATCAGATTAATTAAGTCTGGAATAACTAAATTGGATTTAATGGAGGGTTGGTTTTAGTTTTATTTTTTAAATTAACTTAATTTTAAGCCAAACACAAACTAAACAAACACATAAATTCAAATCCTAGCAAGCCATTTTAAATATAAATCTATTTTGAAAAAAAAAAATCGAATAAGCCAACCAAAATAATTGACTTATTTACACCCCTAATCATAGCTATCTTAGGGTGCGTTTAGGGTAGCTTGTGTGTTTCAGGATAAACAACTTATCCTGAAACAAGACCCGCGGGTCGACCCCCGCCCGCGGCTTATATTTAGTATAAAAATGAAATCATGTTTTAGGATAAACGAGCAAAATACACATCCAAATGGTACCACGACCCTCATTTATAAGTAGGGGTGTAAACGAGCCGAACACTATTTCGAGCTCAAAAAGTATGTTCGTGTTCGACTCGTTTGCTTAACGAGTCGAACACGAGCTGTTCACGAACAAAGAGTCCTTTTAACAACCCTAATCATGTAGCTATAAGACAATAAGGGTTTGAGCAAGATTTAAAAATTATTATTTATATTAAAATATCATTTGAATCAAATTTAATAATTTTTATTATATTTTCTTTATCAATATTTTAATTGATTATAAATCTTTGTAGCCTTGTAGTCAATTAGACTTTTTTAAAATACTACTTTATATATATATATATATAATTTTGAGTCAAAACGAGCTGAACACGAACGAACAGATCTTAGTTCGTGTTCAGATTGTTAACTTCAACTTACAGCCCTATTTATAAGCTGGGCCCTTAAACACACGTAATTGCGTTCCAACTGCCAACGATAAAAACCGAGAGCATCCGAGGGCCAAATCGACCCGTTGAACCCCGCAGTCAAATCGTCTAAGCCCGACGTGGCATCCACATTACCCCTAGAATGTTCCACAGCTATCGCCGGCGTCCACATCACAGAATTAGGTGTGAAATTAAAAAAATCAACGGCCAAGATCTCCTCACAGGCACCCACATCTGATTTCAACGCTTTATCATATCACCCAATCCTCTTATTTTAATTTGTAGATTGATTTTCCTCATTATTTTATGCTCCCAATCTTCCTCTTTCCCCTCCATTTGTATGATTCGGGGTGTTGCAGAAAGCTTAGCCCCGAAGGTTTGGACTGCAAGCTCAGCCCAGCTCCAGTGCTCCAGTTGTTCAGCTTCTTGCCTTTTCTTTTTCTCTCCTTAAATCTTTTCCCTTCTTAGCTAAATTTTGAGAATCGAAAACCCTGATGTCTCTCTGTTGCTTGCCTCTCTTGCGTTTCGATCCATTGTAAAATTTTAGGGGTTGTTGATCTCATTCTGGCGATGTTCTGATCTAGTCACTTGTTTGCTGCTTCTTTGATTCTATTCATAGACGTGTCATTTCTTTGCGGAAGCATCTGAGACTTTGGATGCGTCGTTTGAATTTGGGTTCTGAGTTCTTCTTTACGTTTTTGGTTTCCTGTATGCTTCTTCCATCAGACGTTTTCTTATTAATCCACTTTTTTTTTTCATGTTTTCTAGCCCTAGGACCACCCCAAAACTAATTGTTTGACGATTCTGACTGCAAAGTGTTGGTTTCTTTGATTTTTTTTTTTTTTTTTATCGAGATTTCAAGCCGATTACCATTCCGATGAATTGTTAACTTCAATCTTGGTTTGGTGTCAAGGTTTTGTTCTTTTACAGCAGGAGAGTTTCTACGGTTTAGGCAGCCATATAAGTAAGAAGGGAGAAGTGCAGGCATTGTATGGCAGATCTTAATCGTGCCTTTTCTATGGAGGAGCTCCCTGCGCATTTGATTTATGAGATTTTGAGTTCAGGTCGTCTCAGCTCTGCAGATCTTGCATGCGTGGAGGCAACATGCCGAATTTTCAGGGGAAGTCATGGGGCTTGTCCTGATACATTCCGTTCTATGATTGAATTTGCTGCATTTCATCTCTGTGAAAAGCACCTGATATTTGCTTCTCTGCCTCAATCCGCAAAGAAGGATCTTGTTGATCGCTGTGGTGGGAATTGGAAGAAGGTTCTAAGATTCTTGCAATCAGTGGAGCAATCTTCAGGCACCGCCAAGACATCAGCAGGCAATGTATTACTTTGATACTTTAACTTCTATCATCATCAGTTCAGCTTTGGATGGAAAATAAAGTAGTCTTGTTTGTTATTTCTAGACTGAACGACAAATAATTTTTTTTTTCAAGTTTATCTATAATTCTACCGTAGTACTAGAATTTCAAGCGAAACATTGCATTAAAGAAATAGCTTGAGATTCATTCAATTATGTTTCACTGCATGTGCTCTTTTAATTAGAATAACGAACCAGCTTGAACGTTATTGATGATGCTTCGAATGTATAATTATTACGTTTGAACATGTACTTGTTAATTTATTTATGTTATTCAACTATTAACTTGATGATATATTGGTTAGATGCTCATTTTGTGTTTATTTAGTAGAAGGAGTCTGTTTTTTATAATATACACTATACATAAACTATGGTAATTTGGTTTTGAGAATAAAATAGATAGCACAATTTGATTGCACTTACTCAGAAATATTGGAGTTGTATACATTTAAAAACCATACCAAGAAAATGACATTTATGTTTTTGAGTATCGAATGAGAGTAATATTTGAATCATTAACATCTCAAATTTAGTTGGACTAAATTAAAGTTTGATTCTAGCTCAAGATTGATTAGTAAGAGTATATATAAGCATGAGTTAGATTTCAAAACAAGGGTTATCTTCGAGCTTCAATCAAGCATGTCAAGAAAATTAATAAATATCTTAAGGAACTAAGTGCTTGGATCAACTTACCTCATCTTGTCTTGTCTTCTGTATGACTCTATTTGGTATCAATCAAGTATCTCATTTTATGAACTTAATATGGAAACCAAGCTAGAGAAGTTTGAGGTTGCTCCTAAAGGAGATTAGTTTTGATTTCGGCTTGCATGTTAAACATGTTGTGCTTGGTTTTGTTTGCGAGCACTTCAATTTCACAGAACTAGTTACCTAGTACTTCCAAAGTAGCTTTGTAATTTAATGTTAACTTTTATGGATCAAGAACTCATGCACTTTTTATCCTAGTGTCCTAATTTGAACTATTTGTTAAACATCCTTAACTTGAATTCTTTGCACAAGACAGCACTACTTTAATGAATTTTTTCACCAGTTATCTTTGATTCCACTTTTGGAAGTGTCTCCTATTCCTTGCAAGGAATGAATAACAATCTTGAGGGAGAGATTTTAATCTTCTTGATTTATGGTATAGTTCTATTGACATTATTTTACAAGTTTTAGCATTTTATAGGTATACTATCTTTGATAGTTGGGACAAAGGTTCGTGATCCTGCGTGGGTGATATAACTCAAAAATCCATCCTTAGTTTGTATATTGTGTGGCAACCCATGTTATGAATTAACTCTCAAAAAGCAAAGCCCTCCTTTCCAAGAAGTTTAGTGGAGTGATGTGTTATTGGAGCAAGGGTGAATGCAGGTTATGGCAAAGTGATTGGTCTAAGACCAACAAATAGAATATGTCATAGAATTGTTCTAAGGTGCTTCATATTCTATATTGAATGAATAAAATTGGCAGAGATAACTAAGCATTAATAAATATATATATATATATATTATATATATATATATTAGAAATTATGAAATTCATGTAAGAATTGACAACCATTTTAATCTTAAAAAAGTCTTTGCTCCCACTCAAATTGAGTATTTTCAGTCCTTGTTGAAATCACTTGTACGCGTGCAGGGGATAATGGAAAATTTTCAAGTTCATCGTGGATTATGACTTCATGATTTTACATGGCAGTCCATTCCCTTTTTCTTGATCAATAAATCAATGAGGTATACCGATTGTTTGTGGTTCCACCAACCTGGGGTTTAGGAGGTTAATATAATCAAAGAAAAGCTCAACTGATATTGCATAAGAATGTTTTGTGAAGGAAATGTCAATATGTAGAAATTCATTGTGATAAAATTTAAAATTTGATTTGCGGTGGCACTGACTATGATGAATGAAGTCAAGTGTTAGAAAAGAGAGATACCACTAAAAACTAATATGCGGCATTTGTGGTAATTAGAATGTTAAAGATGCATGTATGATAAATTCATGAATGAATTTGAAGGGATTATATTATGAAATTGTGGGAGTAGCATCCATTGAAGATTAATTTGTTTAAACCAATTAACTATTTAAATGAAAGAGTTTGCAGTTATTATAGTGGTGAGATAATGGGTGTAGCATCCATTGCTGGATATCCAGGGGGTCCTTTCTTGAATCTTGAAAAATTTTGTTCAATGAAAATAAACTATTTCATATAATCTGTGAAATCTGTTAGCCAGATATGCGTGAAATATTTATTACTAGATTCATTTTATTATTATTATTATTATTATTTTGTTATTTTTATTTACCATGGCAGTATGCTTGATGATCTTTTCTTTTAGGTTTATGGCTTTTTTTTTTCTGTAGATAATTGAATTAGCTTGATTATGATTAATGAAGCTTATAATATATATGAAATGTTTGTCCATTAGTTATTCTATTTAAGTTCATGAAAATACTTTTTCGTTATTCAACAAATGGCTTTATAAAATTTTGGTTAAATGTCATTCAATAATTTTTTATTATGATATGAAACTTATTTTTCTCACGTGCTTTTTAATTGAAGTATATCATTTGAGGTATAACTATGATGGGATTTTATGTTGAAAGAAACATTATTTAATTCAATTTACTTGTTTTTGTAATTCATTAACAACATGCTAAGAGAGTTATGCTTAATTTTATGAATAATTATGGATAATTTTTTTGCGCTTTATGAATTTTTTTCTTTGAATTATTAATTTATTGAATATATTTAGTTAGGCTTGTTTCAGTTCTTGCTTGATTTAAAAGATTCATGTCATGATTTTTCGACAAAAAATTTATGCGGGCTGTCAAGTTCATGCTTGATATGAATGTAAATTTATAAGTTTGAGTAAGATTCAAACATGTGGTCTTTTCAAACTTTCTTGAGCTCATCAATTCATGGTTTGGATTAGCTCATGTCATCTATAACTTTTTGTATTATCATCCATTCATCTTTCATCAAAGAACCTCTTATGGAAAACTAAGCTGTCCATGTTTGAGATTTGGTGGTAATTAGTTATGTTGCAGAGATGTATATTCAAAGAGCCATACTTCTTCCTATTTCACACATTTAATTACTTAGTTCTTTAAGAATACAAAATGAAAAGAACTTTTACAAGCTAAAGTTAGTTTATGTGAACCGACAGACAATTCATGTATTCTTTCAGCTCAAATGCTCTTATATTAGGTGATTTTCAAGCATGTTTAATTTGAATGTTTCCATCGAGCCAGTGCTACTTAAAATAGTTCTTTCTTGATATTGAAGTGTTGTGGTATATTTAAAATAAAACAATCGATCGACGATGAAGCGAAAAATAGAACGAGAAAATTCATTCCAAAAGATCACACAAATTTTCTCCGTGAATGTAGGCAATTTGCCAAACCGCGTTTTGTGTGTTCTTTTAGTGTGAATTTTCTCGTTCTTTCCCAGAAACTATTATTTTTTTTTTTGGGAATGTCATTATTGAAATCACTTTTTCTTAATATTCTTTAAATGAAGCTATGGTAGTGGTGATTATTGATGCTAAAGTTAAGCTTAGGTCATTGGGAAATCTACAATGGGAACTGGCAAGGTCATTTGCACCTTTTGATCAAATTAATATGGATGGAATGTGATGGAAATTATAACTGTGTAAACAGATTTGCAAAAGCTAGCGTTAACAAGACATTTACCATCTAAAGTGAGTGAATGTTGTAGACATAAAAGGATTGGGATATGGATAATGATGATTATGACCTCTAAAACTATTAGTTTCATGACCGAGAATTTAATATGCAAACTAATTAACAGGAGAGGAGGCATTATTGTCTTTTACAATAGCTTTGGGATTTTATACAACCAAATTGTAAGGTGTTGTGGGCTCCAAAAATTCAAAATACCTTGGCCTGCCTTTTAGAATGAAAGAAATGAATGAGATTGAGAGAATTTAATGTGAGGTTCCGAGTCAAATTTGTAGAAGGTATATGAGATAGTAGATAAGATATTACCCAAAGATTTTACCCTCATTTTGCAAGGAATTGATCCGGGCTTCGAGGTTTCCCATAAGTCTAAGCCCTTATGATAAGTAATCCTCCCAATAACGAGAGTGCACTTTCAATTAGTGTTTAAACTTAGCATATAGTAGCATCAAATTTAATATTTTAAAATTATAAAATTATCACCGTGAGCTTTAGAGCAAACGGTGGGGGAAATGATGACACTCGATCAAGCTTCTATGGTTCTGTCATCCTAGGTTGTCGTTATTTCTGGTCTACTTAGTTAGAAGAGGTAGTCGGTTCAATATGATAGACGATTTTTGTCAGCAACAATGAGTTATTTGTCCAAGGGAACTTCGTAAATCTTGGTAGTCGGTTCAATATGCATGCACATTGGTTCTGATCTCTATCTTTAACTTGTTTAGGATTTAATAATTAGCACAAAATAGCTTTAATATTATTAAAAGGATTGATACATTATTTGTTGTTGTTGTTTACAACACCTCTTATGTTTGTTTCAGGTATTATTTACATTATAAATTTGAGTTCTATCTAGTTAGTAAATTAGAAATGATATATATGACTGAGCTAAATTTTCTCTGGAAACTCTCTATTTATGCAGATGCAAATAACCACTGGAAGATATCATACGCTCCTGATTCATGATTCTTTTGTTTACTCATGTGGATCTAGTTTGTGTGGTGTGCTCGGTCATGGTCAAGATACAACACAGTGTGTGGCATTTAGCCGCATCAATATTCCTTCGCTCTCTCGTGTCATCCACATGTCTGCATCTCATAACCATGCTGCCTTTGTCGTGGAGTCAGGAGAGGTAAACCATGAATATTTTCCAATAAACATTGGAAGATTTACATACATACCACTCAATTCCTATACATTTACATACATGCCACCTTGCCAATGCATAGTACATATCACTTTTGTAAAAGTTAAAATGATGGTTTTTTGGATGTGATATGAAAGATTTGGGTGGTTTAAATGTAAAAATTAAATTGTGGTGTTAGATATGTAAATACATAGGAATTGGGTGGCAATGCCCCTAAATCATTTTATTGACATTCATCTCTTGTCTATTAGGTTTTCACCTGTGGTGATAATTCGTCATTTTGCTGTGGTCATGGAGAAGTTCGACGGGCAATTTTCAGGCCTACTCTCATTGAAGCTCTAAGGGGGATACCATGCAAACAGGTTTGATATGGACATTTTATTTTTAAAGTATGAACTCAATGTGCTAATTCTTAATACTTAAAAACTCAATATATTAATTGTTTGATTTGTCATTTTATGATGATATATCTAATTATTTAATTGGAAATTTGAATGCTCCTTATTTTTTTCTTAAAGACAATATCTTCTAGGTTTTTTTTTTTTCCTGATGATATCATCAAGATTGATATTGTGTTCAGCCGGATGGTTTGAAATCAAATATTTCAATATAGGCTTAAGTCAAACTGAAAGTGATTTATTTGGAGTCAATATTAGAGCCAATTCAAATTTTATATATATATATATATATATATATATAAACATGTACATCTATGTACGTGTGTCATTTATCCATTCGTTTTGGAGTTACGTATTATGTTTTTTGTCTTGAACACTTTTGTTTTGCTCCATAGAAAGCAATTGAAGCAACTTAAGGAAGGAGGTTTCTTAATCTCTCTGTTTTTGTTTAGTTGTATCCTTTAAATGAAAATTATTTTTATCAAAATAAAGTGGTGTAAAATGTCTTAAGGTTTTAGGCTTTTAATGTAAATATAAAATGCAATTTTGAAAGAAATGTAATATACATTCAGTTTCGATTGGGCATCTTTAGACATTTTAAAATAGGGTACATATCTTTCGAATTCAAATATGGTTAGTAAACTATTATATGACGTCATAATTTCAATTGTGAAAGCTATTAACTATCATTTCATGTGTTATTACTTTTAATTTTGAATTCAAATTTATTTTTTTTTGAGCTTTAAATTCATTTATACTTTATAGATACATACTAATTTATTTTATCTGATAGCTAACTATACTTGACATATAATAATTAAATTTAATATAAATATTTATGTATTCTAAGCTAAAGTAGCTGACTCCAGAAGTTGACACTTGGCGCATCCTATGGCCACCAATAACTACATGACTTGGTTTCTGAATTTGAATTAAAATACATTTATTAACTAACTTTTACATGAAATAATTTTGGCTTTGATTATTGTTGAGATTTGTATCTAAAGTAGGGTTCTATTTGTAAATAAATAAAATTTAGGGATTTATTTGTAAATATTGCAACTTATATGGCTCTATATAAGCCCTTCTTCAATGAAATGAAGGTAGTTTTTTGAGCATTAATTTCTATTTGGTATCAGAGCCTTAATCCTAGCAGCTAGCTGACCACACCGTTGCTGCAACTTGATCTTTTTTCCTTTGCGTAGTAGCTGCGATAGAGCCCGCTGGGAAGGCAGACGGGATCGCTTTGCTTAGTAGCCGTGATAGAGCTCGTTGGGAAGGCAAATGAAATCGCGACAAACAGGGTTGCTCGCCAGGCTGGTCGCTCGTGACTGACCGCACCACCTATATCGCGACACCTCCTCAGTAGGATCTCCCAGAAGCTCTAATCGTGACTTTCTCGAAAGGTTCGAAGCTTCTTGCAGGTTTCTGTCACGAAGGGCTTCTACAAAGGTTTGTTGTGAGAGGAAGGAGGGGAGTAGGGCTATGCTTTTGGTGTTGTTTCTATGCAGTAGTCCCATGGTTGATTTCTCAAAGAATTGTGGTTTGGGAGTCACGAAGGAAGCCTGTTTGTATTATGTGTGTTGTATATTTATTTTTGTGATTGAGGATATTAGAACATGGAGATAGTATGGGAGGCAAAGGATTGAAAACTCTTGGGAAAAATAGATCCTGAAGTTTTGAAGGTCTTAGTATGGCTCATACATAGAGCTAACATCTTGACGAGTGTCACTACCTCAGCAAGTGCTCCGACGTAGGTGAAACGAGATCTCCCTCTTTTGGATCTGAAGCTCGATGGACCAACCATGTATCTGAGTTGGTTGCGTCAAATCAAGGTTGTTTTAGTAGGGAAGAGTCTAGAAGGATATCTAATGGGTGTAGAGCCAAAGAGTGACAACGTTGAGGGGATAAGTGCAGAACTACACATGCATTGATTTACTCTTAGCTACTTAATTCGATGGTTCCATCGATTGCAACTTCAGTGGATGACATTTGGAAGGTGAATGACATATAGGCAAAGCCGAAGTGGATCTATGTTGGAGCTGAGAATCACATAAGGGTGTTTTAGATTACTGTGAGATAGAGACAGTGATTCAGGGTGATAGATCGATTCAGGAGTACTCGATAGATGTGGAGTGGTTGTGGAAAGATCTTGATCACTTTTCACCTATGTCGAGCTGTAGTGATCCGGGGTGCAAGAAGGGAGAGATCTTTGCACTGATGAAGACTATGCAGTTTTTGGCTCATCTAAAACCGGCCTTTGATCAGAGGAGATCGGTTCTCCTAGCTCAGGCGATTGTTCCTACACTAGATGAAACCATTGTTGTGGGAGAGTCACATGAAGCTACACTCTGAGCTGAGTGGGTTTTCGGGTGCACGATCAACATTGGTTGCTGTGAGCCCAGATACGCTAGGTGTTATAGGGGAAGCCTTGCAAGTGCTACAACTTTGGTAAAGTTGGTCATTTGAGCAGGGCCTGTCTAAATCCACCTAAGAAGAGAGACATGTGGATGTGGATAAGGTGAAGGTGGAGGTTGTGGTAGTGGAGTTTGAAAGGTGGAACAGAGGGCTACGGGTAAATTTGATGGTAGAAGAGGACGAGGGAGAGAGGTGTGATCTTTACTAGTCAGGATTATGGGTGTTTGGAGCTGTTGAAGAGGAAGCAGAAAGCAACAAGAGATGGAACTGAGGATGTTTCAAATTCATTGACATCAAGGGGTAACATTGTCACTTATGCTCGCTTTAGCAAAGATATTGGTAACACACTATTGCCGCTATTTCCACCACAAATCATCAAAATGAATCATAGATTCTGATTTTTCTCATCGCGAGATAGGTCATTCTGGAATGCTATTTTTATATACTCTTCTAGCAGTATCAGAGAGTATACAGACTGTTGATGGTACAACGCAGTCTGTAGTTGGTGAGGATACAGTGAGATGTACCAATCATATGACTTTGTTTAATCTTTATATACTCTTCTAGCAGTATCAGAGAGTATACAGACTGCTGATGGTACAACGCAACCTGTAGTTGGTGAGGGTACAGTGAGATGTATTAATCATATGACTTTGTTCAATATTTTGTATGTTCACTCTTTTCCAGTAAACTTTTGATGCATTAGTGTCATTATTCTCCAGTTAACATGTATTATTTTTTTAATATTCCTCTAGTGATATTCCGAGAGAAAAGGATGGATGGGATACTTAGGACTAGAACATGACATAGCGAACTTTGGTAATTGGACCGAGAGGGAATGAACTTAGCTGTGATATCCATGGTGGAAAGTGCTGCAGTAGGAGAATCTGGGAGGAACATTGAGGATGTGTTACTATTACATCACATTATGAAACATTCTAGTTTTGGTTTACTGAGTCGGTTGTATCCACCTATGTATGAAAAGGCAAATAAGGAGAAACTAGTGTGTGATGCTTGTGAGTTTGGCAAGCTTATTAGGAGCTCTTATGTCAGTTCTGAGAATAGGAGCTATGGCGTGTTTGATTTGATACATTATGATGTATGGGGATCTTGTGTTACCTGGGTATACTTGATGAAACAGAAAAATAAGGTGGTTGCTTGCTTTAAAGATTTCTACAAGGCAATCCAAACTCAACATGTGCAGTTGTGAAGGCACTGCGATCTGATAAGAAGATATAATATATCAACAAAGTATTTGGAGACTACCTGACAGCCCAAGGGATACAACACCAAACCACATGTCATATTCATCAGCATAAAATAGAGAGCAGAGAGGAAAAATCGACATCTTTTAGAGATAACCAAGAGCATGATGATGATAATGAATGTCCCACGATACTTATGGGGCTTGCAGTGTTGACAGCCATTCAATTGATTAGCAAGATGTCATCAAGAGTGCTGGAGTGGGAGTTTCATTGTTAATGTTGAAAGGAGACAATTGTGGGATCCTTCCATTGAAGATATTTTGATGTGTATGCTTTGTGAAAGTAATAGACCATCTGTAGGGAAGTTGGATCCTGGTGCTGTGAAATGTGTATTTATGGGTTATTCTACTACCTTGAAGGGTTATGTTTGCTGGAACCCAATTAAGAAGAGATTCTTTGTGAGTATCGATGTGTCATTCAGAGATTTTGAACCTTACTATACACTCTGGAGGTGAATTAAACACTTAGTGACTCAAAAAACACTAGAGATATGAGGCAAGAGAAAATGAGTAGTAGTGATGATGGAGTGGTGCTAGTGAGAGCAATGTCATGTTTTGTGATGTGGGATGAATAAACTAAGTAGATGAAAACCGAGAAGATTGACCCCAGAGGTGGTGGAATTCAGGCATAAGGTGAGTTAACGGTGTATACATAGAGGAAGTAGTAAACTGAGGGAATAGAGTCCGTAGTTCCAACAAGTCCCTTGTCCCGATCTTCCCCAACTCCCGAGACACATATACCATCAACAATTTGATTCAAAACCCTAGGGTGATATTATTCCTCCTCCATCCACTCCTACCTCTCCAGCATTAAGGAAGACTTCCCGCAATAATTCGAGACTTTCTCCTGATTGTTTTGGGTGAAAACTTGCTATTGCGAATTTTATTTGTTATTCTGACATTTAACATTTGCATGAAGCATTTTTTGTATCATTGGATTATGTTTTTATACTCTAGGATTGGAAGGTTGCTAAAGAAGATCTCAAGTGAAAAGCGGTGGTGCATGAAGAGTTTGTAGCTCTTGGTAAAAATCGAACATGGAAGATTGTACCGCTATCATCGAACAATTGAATGTAAGTGGATCTTCACGGTGAGGCAAACTCTAAAAGGGAAAGTGGAGAGGTACAAAATATGATTAGTAGCAAAAGGGTGCAGCTAAACGTTTGACATTGGCTATGATGAAACTTTTGCACTAGTCGCAAAGATAAGCACACTGAGGACACTGATTTCTCTGACACTGAATGGTGGACATAGACTTTACCAGTTGGATGTAAAGACTGTTTTTCTTCATGTCAAACGACTGGAGGAGGTATATATGAAGATATCACCAGGATTTAATACACCCCTGACAGTGTACACACCGCTCAGGAAGTCACTGTAAGGCTTGACGTAATCTCCTTGAGTCCGGTTCGGCAAGTTCAAAATAGCGATGGTTGGCATGGGATATCAGCATATCAATGCAAACCACACGGTGTTTTTTTGACAACATGAAGGTCGCATTACCATACTTGATTTGTATGTGGATGACATAATTATCACTGATGATAATGAGGCAGAGATTGCTCAACTGAACGAGCATTTGGGGAAGCAATTCGATGCAAAGGATTTGGGACAACTCAGATACTTTCTTGGGATTGAAGTGACCCATGAACGAGGCAGTGGGCCTATTCTAGAGAAACTGTGTTGAATCTTCTCACGGAGACGGGTATCAAACTCAATACAGAGATAGGTGAATCAGTTGATTGTGAGAGGTACCAGAGGCTGGTGGGTCGCCCGTTTTATCTGTGCCACTCTTGACTGATTTTTCTTTTGTAGTAAGTGTGGTGAGTCACTACATGCATGATCCAAGGAAAGGTCATATGGATGTAGTGTATCAAATTCAAAGGTATCTAAAGTGTGCACCAGGGAAAGGGTTGATTATAGGAAGAGTGGACATGTAGATTTTGATGACTTTTTTTATTATGTTTGGGCAAGTTGTGTTGATAACAAACGATTCACATCAAGATACTGCATGTTTGTCATTGAAAGCCTTGTTGGTTGAACTCAAAGTGGACAAGGGAACTCAAATGAAGTTGTGGTGTGGCTACAAGTTGACTATCAGCATTGTTAACAACCCGATGCAACATGATAGAACCAAATATGTGGAGATTGATAGGTTCTTCATGTAACGTTGAATGACAGACTACTGGAGCTAAGTTATGTAACCGCTAGAGAGCAAGTGGTGGACTGCCTCACCAAAGGACTTAACTCATTAGATTTGTTTAGATTATGTGACAATATGGGCTTGGTGAATACCTTTTGCCTATCTTGAGGGGGGAGTGTTGAGATTTGTATTTAATGTACGGTCCTACTTGCATATAAATGAAGTTAGGGATTTATTTGTAAATGTTGCAACTTATAAGGTTCGTCATCAATGAAATAAAGGTGATTTTTTTAGCAATAATTTCTATTATTATTACATCATATATATCATTAATTTTAAAGTTATTAGAAATACTGAAATAAAATATATTGAAACTCGGCACATCCTATGGCCGCCAATTATAAGTTGAATTGAAATATATTGAAACTTAAATTCATTAATGAATACTTGAGTTTTAATTATTTCATTTGACAACTAATCACAAATTTTATAAATCAAAGCTTTACTTCAAAATTATTTGCACCTCATTGCCTGATTCGATAGCTTTCATTGGCTCAAGGGCCCAACAGCTCAATAGTCCAAGTTTTTCGAAGTCAGTTTTAAGAAACTGCATGGGGAAACACGAAGTGTAATAGGGACTTGATGTCTTTGAACAAAGTTAGCAGTTTTCTGCTTGTCATTTTTATACAGGATAGGGTCCAAGGCCCATCGACACGGTTATTGTAGCATCAGTTTCAGATAGCGACTTTAGTGCTATGAAGATCAACGGGTCAAGATGAAATATTAATACCAGCCCTTCACTCTTATCTTTAATTAAAGATTTCTTATTTCTTGCTATCCTATAGTTGATTTCCAAATTCATGCTACTGCCATTATTACATGACTAATGCCTGCCATATTACATGACTAATTTCTTTGAACTATTGCCTAAATATATTAGCAATTGTCTCCTCATCATTTTTAAATAGGGCAAGACCCATTGAGAAGGGTTATTGTAGCATTGGTGCCATATAGCAACGTTATTACTATCAAAACTAATGGCTGAAAGTAATCAATTGATACTGGCCTTTTATACTTAATTGTAGATTTCAAGCCACTTCCTACCCTATAGTTGCCTTTCCATCTTCATGCTATTGTTATTATTACATGGCTAATGTCTTTGAGCTACTGTCCAAACACATAAAATATTACATATGTTGAACGTATGCATGGAGGGTGATGTCAATGCACAGAGGTCTCCATTATTTATTTTATATTATCATTATTATTTTTTTTTTTTGTGCTTCTTCACCATTCTCCGCACATACGGTCAACGTACGTAATATTTTTACCTAAACATATTAGCAGTTGACTCGTTATCATTTTTTTAGGAGGCGAGGCTCAACATCCATTGAGAAGGGCTATTATAGCATTGACGCCAGATGGCAATTTTATTACTAAGAAGAATAATGGCTCAAGGGAACAATTGACACCAGCCCGTCACACTTACCTTTAATTGTAGATTTCATGTCGCATCCTAACCTATAGTTACCTTTCTAAGTTCATGCTATTGCCATTATTACATGAATAAATGTATTTCTTTTGCTTGCATGAAAATGAATGATTCTATTGCATTTTGTATTGCATAAAAATGGCACTTGCTTAAAAAATATGTAATAGAATATAGTACAACAAGCGGTTAGGTTCAAGTGTAGCTATTTCTATGGAATGTACTTGTCGATGCTACATAGTCACCAACTTTGTAATGGAGGCTTAATTGGTCCCAGGGCAATGACCTCACAAAAAAGCTGCACCCAATAAAAAGTTAAATGAATGATCATATTGATGACATGGCCATACTAATGGTTCAACAGGATTTGAATATTAAATTAGAACATAAATTATTCATAACATGCCTTAATTTTTTTATTCTCTCTTTTTACAGGTTGCCACTGGTCTGAGTTTCACTGTAATTCTTACCAAGGAAGGTGATGTATTCACTTGTGGAAGCAACACCCATGGACAGCTTGGTCATGGAGACAATCTCGACCGTCCCATTCCTACAAAAGTTGAATCGCTCGAGGGTGTTGGCCATGTTGATCAGGTTGCTACTGGTGCGAGTTACACCTTCGCCTTAACTAATGATGGGACTGTTTATTCGTTTGGTTCATGCTCGAATTTCTGCCTTGGTCATGGAGATCAGCACGATGAGCTTCTTCCCAGAGCGATTAAATGGTTTAAGACTAATAATATTCATGTAGTGCGAGTATCTGCTGGTGATGAACATGCTGTGGCACTAGATTCCAACGGATATGTAAGACTTGTTTCAGATATGAGATTTTTATATAATATTTGGGGGCACTTACATACTATTACTCAATTTTTATGTGTTTACGTATCCAACACCCAAATTTTAATTGTATAATTATACCCCCAAATATTTTGTATCACATAAAAAATACCACCATTTAACTTTTAAAAAGTGAAAATTCACACTTCCATGCATGTATGTAAAATTTAAGTTGGGCTAGATATGTAAATATATGAGAATTGAGGGGCATGCATGTAAATCTTCCTATTTTTTTTTCGTTTTTTGGCCACCGAACAATTTACTGTTCTCTTTCTTATTTTTGGTTAATGCTAAAAATTGCTGCTTTTGCAGGTTTATACATGGGGTAGAGGATATTGTGGAGCTCTTGGACATGGAGATGAGAATGATAAAACTAGTCCTGAACTGTTGAACAGCCTAAAAAACCATCTTGCTGTCCAGGTAATCCATTTTGAAGGCGCCTATTTATTTACTTACAAATTCTGTACAATTGTGTATTTACCACCTTAAGATATTGTACATAACCGAGTTATTTTTGCATATAGGAGTATAGAATTAGACAAAATTTTAAGTTTCTTTATCGATCTTTATGGGTTATGCACCCTTTTGTTTTACAAAGACTATTTTTGAGCTTTTATGGTCATTGAAATTCCATTAGTATAAAGTTGAGAAAAGTGTCAACATGATTCTTTACTCTTTGTAAGTGGTCATTTTAGCCCCCGAGCCTACAAAAAATTCAATTTAGTCTTCATACTCTTTTAATATAGGTTAAAAGTCATTAAAAAAAAGAAAAATAGGTTAAAAGTCATTAAAAATGTTTGGGGACTAATTTGCATTTCAATAAATTATGAGACTAAAATAATCCGATGTGAATAGTTAGAAAACCATTTTGGCACTTCAATCTTATAAAGATTGTGAAACACTTGAATTCTTTAATGATTTCTTCCTCAATCTGCGTTGCTCTCATAAATTTTCATTTTTAGAGGGGCCGGCCTTTTCTCAAATACGTACCGCATGTACAATTAGAACCATAAGACCTAATAATTTTATGAAACCAATTAGTGTTTATGTTCATATATTGGCTTTCAAAAACAGGTTTGTGCGAGGAAGAGAAAGACCTTCGTTCTAACAGACGAAGGCTCTGTTTTAGCCTTTGGATGGATGGGATTTGGCAGCCTCGGCTTCTCCGACCGCGGATGTTCGGACAAAGTCTTGCAGCCTCGAATCCTCGATAATCTCAAGTCTCATTATGTCTCCCAAATCAGCACCGGACTCTATCACACTGTTGCCGTAACAAATAAAGGTTTGGTTTTTGGGTTCGGAGATAACGAGAGAGCCCAACTCGGCCTTGAATGGCTAAGGGGATGCCTAAATCCAACCGAAATTATGTTGCAGACAACCATGGAAGATATGTCAATAGCAGCACAGAGTGGATGATGATTAACTTTTAACTCTCATGAGGTTAGCAGGCCTCAGTTGTGTTAGAATAATGAATTTGTTTGTCGCAGTAAAGGTTGTAAAAGTAAAATTTCATTTGTTCATAATTTGCCTTTTATCAGGTTTTTATCTTGAAAGAAGAGGTTGTATGTTGATTGAAGGGCTCTGAGAATTTGTTTTATTGAAGATAATTGTAATGAATGTGGTTTGCAGATTTGTTCAATTTGAGCTTGTGATTATGTTTTTTCTATGTAAATGACTTGGTGTGCTTGAGTCTAATTTGTCAAATTTTGTGCTACATTTATGTAGTCGCCTGCGTAGGGTTTAGAGTTTAGGGTTTAGCCAATGTTGTTGAAATTGGACTTTACATTGAAACGGAAGAAAATGCTTTCGAGTTTTCGAAGTTCAATCAAGGTTGAATCAAAGCTTGGATAAGATGATATAATAAAAATTAAAAATTATTTTAATTTATTTTAAATGAAGTAATAATACCATGACAATACTATTTTTACTGATTGAATGTAAAACACTTTAATTTAGGATATGTAACTCTTAGGGGTGTAAACGAACCGAACACGAACGAACAAAGCTTGTGTTCGTGTTCGGTTCTTTTAAAATTTAGTTTGTTTGAAATAAGCTCGTGTTCGTTTCTTAACGAACGAGCCGAACACGAACCGAACACGAGCTGTTCGCGAACGACGAGCCAGTTTGACATCCCTAATATTAATATATAAAAATAATATTATATATTAATTATATAACTTATATTATATAAATATACAATATCTATATTAGCATATTACTAGTATAGTATATTAATATATTATTATTATTAATTTATTATATATTATAATTTATAAAATTTAATGTTTTAAAATATCACAAATTATATATATATAATTATTTTAAATTATTTTGTATTTCAAACAATAATGATTCAAACACGAACGAACGCATCACTGTTCGTGTTTGGTTCGTTTAACAAACCGAACGAAAAAAATTTGTTTGCGTTCGTCTCGTTTACTTATCGAACGAATCGAACACGAACTCATTGACGAACCGAACACGAATTGTTCGCGAACAACGAGCTTTTTTGGCAACCCTAGTAACTCTTACATATTTTGCATACGTTTTTAAATTAAAAATTTTAGGATTTAATATTTTAATTATTTTCTCACTATTTAATACTAACAATACTATTTTTACTTATTGTGATAAATTGCAAACCTAATTTATGAGAGATAAATGAAAGATGTGGGCCCCATTCATGTAAAAAAAAAAAAATTAAGACATTTTCAATATTATAAAATATCCACAACATCCTTATTACTCTGCCCCGAAAAATGTTAAGAGGGAAACTCCATATTCCCTCTTCTCTAGTGCCAGACTTAGCTTTCTCTATAATTATGAGACCCGAGCTCAAAGCATGCCCTAATCATTAAGTTCTAATCTAACTTAGTTGTGGCTCAATTGCTTAAAAAAAAAATGAAATTACTATAAAATTAACCTACGATTAAATTTGGGCATCTTATTTTAATTGTAATGAAAAAAAATGTCAACGAGGAAGGACAGAAATCAGACAGCCAAATAAAGAATTTTCTATAATTAGAAGCTTCATTAATTCTAATATTTTTATTCTGATTTATTTCCCTTTTAGCTGAATATTTAGATTATGAATATGTACTATTAAGTTACCTAAAATAGATTGTAAGATTGTTATTTAATGGAATGAAAGCGAAGGGAAAAGGCAATCGAGCCTATTCATAATTTAGCCTATTTCTCAAAACTTTGACAAAAAAAAAATTAAGCTTCACAGCCTAATAATACTCAAATAAATTTATAATTAGCAAGCAAAATTCCTCCCTTAATTTTCAAATTTCTTTAAATTAACAATGATTTGTTTATAATACACATAAAAACATTTGTTTGAAAGTTTATTTTAAAAATCTACAAGTTAATTTTATTGATAATAATATTTTAGAAAAATCCCACAAAAAATAAAATGAAAGCAAATAATACGAGGTGCTTCAACAAAATAACGTTATAATCCATATTATTTGAATGGATCATATTCGACAATTTATTTTAAAATGTCTAACAAATCTTTTTTTGGAGTTATCAATTTCCATTATATATAGAGAATATATATATATATATATATATATATATATATATATTTGTCTTAATATGTTTAGTTTCTATAGTTGTTGAAATTTTCATAAATTTGATTTTGATAGAAGATATAATTTTAGTCTAGAATTATATCCTAACAAAACGTGCAACTGCGTAGTAAGTTCAATGCCATTTACATTCATATCTATGAATGAATAATTTAGATACACATAAATTGGCTTACAAAATATAATAAAATAATTTTCATACAATAACAACAATAACAACAAGCCTTTAACCCAGTAAGTGGGGTCGGCTACACGAATCTTTTTTTCTCCATTGAGTCCTATTGAGTGTCATATTTTCATTTAATTCTAATTAATTATAATCATTTTTTATACAATATGCCCTGTCTTTTTAAGTCTACGTTTGCTTTAACATAAATCGAATCTAAAATATTTACTCTCCTAATCGAATCATCAGATGGTCAATGTTTAATGTGACCAAACCCTCTAAGACGACTCTTTTTAATATTGTCTGACACTAGAGCTACACCAACCTTATCAAGGATATATTCATTTCACATTTTGTCTCTAAGTGTCAAGCCACTCATCCACCTAAGCATTATCATCTCAACAACATTTAATTTTGTTTTATGCTTCTCTTTTGAAGACCAGCATTATACATAATAAAGCATTGCAGGTCTGACGACCATCTTATAAAATTTTCCTCTCAGTCAGAGCAATGTTTTTTTATCACACAATTGACCCGATGCATTCTCCACTTCAACCAACCAACTTGAACTCTACAAATAACATCACCATCTATATCACCGTTATTTTACACAATAGACCCGAGATATCTAAAACGTTCACACCTTTTAATGATTTGATCACTCATAATTACAACTCTGCCACTAGAGTAACTACTACTAAAATTATATTCCATAAATTTAATTTTTGTTCTACTCAAACGAAGACCCTTAGGCATCAATGTAGACCTCCATAATTAAAGTTTTTCCCTCAAGAATGACATCATCAGCGAAAAGCATACATGAAAATACATCCTTCTGTAAAATTCCAGTGAGAGCATCCATAACTAAAACAAAAAAAATATGGGCTTAAAGCCGATCCCTAATGTAATCCAAATGAAACAGGAAAATACTTGGTCAAGCCTCCTTCTGTTTGAACACTAACTTGAATATAAGTTATGGCAACACATTTCTTTTCTAAAACTCTCCAAAAAAACTTCTCTTGAAATCTTATCATAAGCTTTTTCTAAATTAATAAAAATCATATATAGATCCTCCTTATTCTCTATATTTTCATATTTACATAAAATAATTTTTTTTTCTTATTTTAATTTATGAATAAAGCAACTCTACATTATCTTAAAATTTTTTTTTTTTTTTTGCAGAGATTTCTTTATGTAAATGTAAGAAGGAATTGAAAATTTTGGAAGGAAAAAGACAAAACTAATAAAGAAAATTAAGATAGAGGATAGAAGTAATTTTTATTTTTTAATTATTCTCATTAAATTCTCCATATTTATCTCTTCATTTGTATTAATTTATATTTATTTTATTAACATAAAATATAGATAGATGGGTAAGATATTATATAGCTGTCCTTTTCTACTTTGAGGTGAGAGGTCGTATTGAGATAGTACGCTACGGAATTGTGGTCTTCCTCAGCATTTGTTTTTTGTGGAAGGAGGAATTGCTCTTCATATTACGTGTTAAATTGGTAGATTTGCAAAAATTTAATAGGACTTAATTACTTAATTTGGCCTTCTCAATGTATCAAGCTTTAATTTAATACAATTTAAGGTGAGTAAGTAATAAATAGTTTTGTTTTTTATAAAAAAAAAGGAAGAGTTAGTCTAGAGTATTTTGTATCCCTTGTACATATTTATTTAAATAAGTTTTAGAGTTAATGAATTTATTTAATTATGCTCGTTGAATCTTTTTGACACGGAAAATCTCGTATAATTCGTGATTTCATACAATCCGAGAGAGATCTTAAAGGGGTGATATTCAGAGAGCTTTTTTTAGAGTCTAGATCTGACAGAGGTATCCTTTTTTTTTTGTATCTGTGCACGGGTCTATAGAATAAAACATAATGCTAGGTTATAAACTATGTGATATGTAACCTGAGCAGACTTACTATTGACAAGACCATTGGTGTGGATTGTCATGTTGTTAATAAATTACGATAGGTGTACTCACAAGCTAGGGTTCTTTTTCTTCTGCCTCAAACAACTGTTCGTCGAGCTCGGTAGTGTAGCCAGATAGTTATAAATGAGCTTGGTGGCAATGTCTAACCAGCTCGTGTGAGTTTGAAATCGGAAACCCGGGACGTGTAGGCGAGTTTGACTAAGAACACGCTTGAAGATTAGGATTGGATAGACTCGTTCTGAGGAACTTGTAGAAACGATGAGGTATTTTGAAGGTACATGTATTAATAGGGTCGCATCATACTATTGAATGCACAACTGACGAGTATTATTAATAGAGTACCTTTAATTTTTTTCAATCATATAACTATTCAACTTCATTGGCTCATATATATATATATATATA